AAAAAAAAAAAAAAAAAAAAAACTTCTAAATTTCGCACTTGCTCGCAATTTCGTTCCCTTTGCTTGCTTCTGGAAATGAACGGCTGCTATCGAGGTTAACAGCGTTCATGTTTATATATTTGCGTTTAAGACGTACAATTAATACTAACAAACGAATATTAAAGTTATTTAACAAAGCTAATAATGTAAGCACCTCTCTGTGTCTGAGAACCATACAGAAGAAGAACACCTGTGTAAGATCTACATGTGTAGGGTAGTAACTGTTGGCTTTGTAAAATTTCAAAGCCATTTTTTCCCGTAAATTGTATAAACCCCCAAGGTCAGGTTTGTTCCTACGTCAAAATGTTGTTTTTGTCTGTAGGTCTTTGAATTATTGGGGTTCTAACCCTACGTCTTATTACTACAGACACAAATATTTTTGCGGCAGCTTAAAAATTCAGTATCTATACTTTTGTTACTGGGTAAATATGTTGTTTTTTCTTTTGAGTTGTTTTCTAAATTGGGTCATCGTGTTGCCCTTAACGTGTTAATTATATTGTGTATAGAGCTACGCGTTTCCTCTGGTTTGGAAAATTATGGGAGAACCACATATTAAGCTCATCTAAATAGTTTGTGTCGTATGGAAAGGAAAACGTCCGCCTCATGTATCCAGAGAATAATAGGTAAAATTAAATAAATAAATACAATAAGATGTAGTTATTATTTCCATAAATAAGATTAATTACACTATTTAGTAGGGAAGCCACATCAGGCTTAGTAGGATTTCATGCGAGTCCTGAATCCAGGTCAAATAAGAATTTGGAAAAGTTGCTTTTGTCGAGGGAGAAAAAAACGGAGAATCCGTAGAAAGACCTCGGAGCAAGGCGAGAACCAACAGCAAACTCAACCCACTTATGGCAACGGGCCGGAATCGAACCGAGCCACATTAGTAGGAGGCGAGCGCTGTCATCTCTGAGTCATCCTTACGTCATCTTTGCGCCATCCTTGGGGCATCTTTGCGTCATATTTGCATCATTCCTGCTACCCACGTCCCTTCTCCCTTCCGGTGTTGAAGCTACCCCAACTTAAACCATCACGACAGAGAGTGGATAGACATTCAGGTAGATCTGCAATACATGATGGTTTTACGTATATAGCATTCACGTGTATTGTAAAGAAACGGCCAGTCAACTCAATTTCAAAAGGTAGCATGAGTTTTCAAACTTGGTTGCTGGTCTACAAAAGGAGCCTCAAGAAACAAAGGCATTAAAGTCAAAAAAGTTATATGTAAAATAAACAAAACGCCCCCCGGCATTAGTAACTGTGCAGAACTCAAGTAAAGTGTTGAGAAAAAGTTCAATATTACATAATAATTGTATATTTTGCGTGTTTAATTGGATCAGTACAATTTACACGGCCTATGAAGATGGCCTACTTCTAAGCCTACTAACAGAACAAGAAGTGCAAGTAGAATCTTTAAAAAAAAATAACCGTTGCAATGGTCTAATGAAATAAATTTACAAATTAAAAAAAGAAATCCGTTCATGAAATTCGTTCCCTTCATGTTGCATGTGAGTGGGTTTTACAATCTCCATCTACAAACGGAAAATCAGCAATTGTGGTACCTAAAAGAACATTATAAACACTATTTTTATAACAATTTTTTTCTCGACGCAGGCTGAATAGATTTTTTATTCTGCCGATTTTAGAGGGAAAATATTTCTGTTAATATTCTTCGATTAAATCTACGACATTTCCGTTTTAGAACATATTGGAGGATTAATTACAAAAAATGTATTTTTATGAAAAAATGGTGTACTGCATTAAATATCAGACGTGGAAGAAAGCAAGTTCACCGCCTGGCGCGGTGAATGTAGCGTCATATAAGGAACCACTCAATCAGTATGATTGCTGGAAACTCTTTTATCAGCTCTGAAATTATACTAACAAAAAATATTATGACGTGGAAGAAAGCAGCCTCACAATATTATTCGCCTAGTTATGTTTAAAAGGAGCAATTCTCCGCACTTTTTATTAGTCGCAACAAGCTATCAAGAATGAAGGCAATTCTCTTATTAGTTGTAGTTGGCTTCGTCCTAGCTGTGGGTTTTGCAGTTCCTTTCGGCGATGATGATTTGGGGTCAAAAAACAGCGAGCTGAAGGAAATTGCAGATGAGTTAGCGGATGACTTTGAACGAGAGGATCTGAAAAGGTATGATGCTAATGGTAAAAAGGGGAAAACGGTAGCATTAATACGGAGGAAATTTGAGTTAGTCATTAATACACGTTTAAAACAAGGCTCAGCGAGTAACACGTGGAAGTGCATGTTATCAATTTGTTTTTCTACCATTATATTTCAAACGCTGGACACGAGTTTTACATCAGACGCTTAAAACATAATTTGGTATCGTAAAAACAATTAACAGACTGTTTTGTCCATAGTAAGGCTTGCTCATAATTGCGAGATTTTGAAATTTGATATTATGATTGCAGTGACTATGGGATGGACACGGAAGATGCAGAGAATGATGAAGATGTCTTTGGTGATGAAGATGATAACAACAGAGACGAAGACCAAGTAGAAGACGAAGAAGGCAATACTGCCATTGAAAGGTCTTCCGACCCTTTTATAGGCGTTGGTCGTATTGGTCGTACAGCACGACGCATAATTCGACATGTTCCACGTACAGTTCGACGTATAGGACGCACAGTTCGACGTATCGGACGCAAAATTGGTCGTGTATTCCGTGGTTAACCTGGGTATAATTCAGGCCTGGTCAGGGGAAGAGATTTGAAATAACACTATCCTGGTAAACATAATAGTAATTCATAAATAAAAGTTTGTGAGCTGTCGGGCAGTTGTTAAATAGAAATAAATGCTAATGTTAATCAACGTTTCAATGGATTATATTTCTTGAAGTACTTTTGCTGTTATAGCTAATATCTTGGGCGATGCTGGAAACAAAACATGGATTTTCACTTTTTGCAAAGATTTAGTCACACCCTTCCTCATAATTATCACTTCTCCTGCTTCTTTAGTGTTTTTGTTTTTGTTTATTGTTTTCGTTATATATTTTTTCCCCTTATCACCTCAGTGCTATTTATGCCACAGAAAACGATCAAATCGCCTTTTAAGATTGCATATTGGTGACTAAGAATACGCAGGTAAATCAATAAAAAATACGTTTGAAGTCGAAATTTTACGTCTGTAATATTATCTATCGTATTTGTTTAATGCACAAAGTAGTTAAAGTATTTCAACTAGGATAAGATGGAATATTAAAACATCCTAAGCAACACTTTTTATTCTCTCCTCAAGCTAGCCAACTGAGTTGCTCAAAGTTGACGTTTTTAAGTTGTGTTCATTCAGTTGCCGTTTTCAAGTTCCGTTTACATTGTCTGATGTGTCATACTAGAGTCATGTTAGTCTTTTTTTTATATTTTATATGCATTTCGAGAGGTCCTAATATCGCTCCATTCTCAGGAAAATCATAGAACACTGTTTAAAAAGCTGCTTATGACTGTGGGAATTAGATCTACGTGAATTACAAGAAAAGAGTATTACTTCACGAGGTATACACAACTTTCGAACATTTCTCATTGAGAATTTCTGTTTCAATTGGTTTCCTCTCTGAATATCCGGAATTTTGGGCCGCATGGTTTGTAATTAAGAAATTCAGCAAATTTAGGATTTTCAGAAAACTTTCGAAGAAAATTTTGTACCATTTTCCCATTGATTCGAAAGTTTGGTGACTTTTGGTTGAATAGACAGCACCCTAAATCTCAACAATTTTTGTTCAGTTAACAATGAAATATTTGAAATGACCTTCACCTCAACCCAGTGTCAAAAGCTTAAGGGCCCATTAACCGATTCATGCGCGCGCGAGTGCGCGTTGTTAAGGAGGTGAAATTTCACTTCCGGTTACTTACGTCAGCCTGAGCGAAGAAAATAATAACAACTCAAAAACTCGCAAATTCGCTTACATTTTAGACGTTTTTCTTTGTGCTTCACAAAATACAAAGCAAAAAAAGTACAAGCAAAGACAAAATAAGAGAAAGACAGACAAACAAGGGCAATAGAAAGAGAAAAACTAACTCCGTGTGGCTTTGTTTGATCTTACCGAAGTGCGCTGGTGGTGTAAATTGCGCACGCAAAGATAGGGTAACTTCCAATATATATCGGGCGCACTTCCGGATTCTTTAAATGCTAAAGGAAACGCGGTTTTTCATTAAATCAAGCCTTTTTCGACGAATTTCGATTAAAGCCAAGGTTGGAAACATAGCTATGCATTCCTTTTTCGAAATCATGCTTTTTTTCAGAAAATTACGAAGTTTTCAACATTTTGAAATGCTCTTAAAATCTGATCTTTTAGAAATGAAACAAAATCGATGCATAGCGTAACGAGGATTTAAATTAAAAATATATGCATCATGTTCACAGGTTAAAGAATTCGAAAATGTGTCCCAGTTCTTTTACTCTAATGACCATGACAATTTTTTTATTCTATATTGCCAAGGATATATACATTTTTTATGATTATATTAGAAACGCAACAACGCAACAACATACAAACAACATAAATCAAAACATTCGAGCAAACAACACATCCATAGACTATTAAAATCATAACTTTCAATCCAATCGAATCCGAAATGCTTACATTTTTTGAAAATGTTCGGTTCAAATTGTCAAGACTAGTAGATATGCGGACATACTGGCCATAACTCTTTTTTTTTTTTCACTCCATGAAGTCTAACTAGTACTGAAGTCAGAAGACCAGGAGTTGCGGTCACCTGCCAGCAATGCACCCTGGTTTGGACAAGACATCATACGTATGTGGGTTACGTTTAATGTTGGCTCTTCTCTTTTGCTCCAAAGTTTCTTTACTTGGTCGCTGGCCTTTTTCCCGGCACTTTTTACTCATAACTCTAATTGTATCTCGATAGGCGTACGAGTTCTTAAGGAAACTTACGCTTCACGTAGGTTTATGAAATTACACTGGCATTCTATTACTTTTACAACTGATTTTGAAATAGGCTCAGTTTCAGCTCATCCAAGTGTCATCAGTGACATTTTACCCTATCGTCAAATTTATCAGAAGTAAATGAAAAACCACGGAACTCATATTTCATCAGTCGTTCTACTTGGATTATCTCTTCATATCTTCATGAATTTGATAAAACATTTTGTCATTGCATGAATTTCGTTCGTAAATTCAACTATTGGATAATGGGCCAACACTGCAAATAGATAAGTTCCTAATTTTTTGTATTGGAACATGCTGTAAAATTCGTAAAAAATGCCTTACTCACTTGAAGTACGCATGCTCAAATGTGAATTTCCCTAGTTTGTATTCTTTTTGGTGAAGTAATATCTTTACTTCCCCTCATTAGAAGCATTTCAAGCGAACATTTTTTTGTGAGTAATGCTGCTTATTGTCGAATTTGTAGGAGGGGCTTTCTCTTAATTCTGTGGGATTCCGACCATGCAAATTATTACTGTGATAAAACTAATAATACTGTTGCACATAAAAAGCTCGATTGTCAGTCAGAATTATTTGCCTATTCTCTTTCATTTAGTTGTACCTAGTTTGAAAACAGACTGTTACCTTCAACCGGTGAAAAAATGGTAAAAGAATTCCTCATAAAGTTTCTGAAAATCCTAAAGTTTTTGAATTTTCGAAATGACAACCATGGGGCCAAAAATTCTGGGTATTCAGGGAGGAAAACCAAATGAAACAGAAATTCCCAGTAAGAAATGTTCGAAATTGTGTATACCTTTTAATTCAGAAAAATCTAGTTCCCACGATCATAAGCAGATTTTAAAACAATGTTTAATGATTTTCCTGAGAATGGAGAGATATTAACTAGGGCATAACGAAATGCAATATACAAAACGACTAATATGAGGCAAGACTTTTTGGTCTTCGCAACGAACAATGTAAACAGAATTGGATAACGCCAAATAAAAACAACTTGGAAAAAATAAACTCTGAACAACTCGCTTGGCTAGCTTGCATTGAGGAAAGAAAAAAACTTGAGATATTTGAATTTCAAATCTTGTTCTAGTTGGAATACTTTTACTACTTTGTGCATTAAACAAATACGATAGATAATTACAGACGTAAAAGTTCGACTTCAAACGTATTATTTTATTGATTTACACAAGTATTTTTAGTCACCAATATGTAATCTTAAAAGGCGATTTGATGCTTTTCTATGGCATGAATAGCATTGTGGTGATACGGGAAAAAAATATAACAAAAAGAAAGCAAAAAACACTTAAGGGGCACCCTCCGTAAATTTCAACTATGGCCATTTAGACCAGAAAAAATCAAATTCCTCAAACTTTCTCAGATGAATGGTCTACATAAGTGATTCACAAAAATATAACTTTCAGTTCAATTCGATTCGTATCTTAGCGCTGGGGCCACTGTCTTGGTTTTGCCCCTCTGAGAGGGCTTTCAGCGGCCATTTTAGGGCACATTTTTAACAATTTGCCATACAAAGAAAACGATATAAATGCGGATAAAAACCCTTTATTCGAGACAAGCAAATGTTTCTTGTTACATTGAGACGCTGTTTTTGCAATTTGATCATCACCTGATTTTTTTACAGAATTTTAAATTTCTTCCCTTTCGGACTACTCATGAAGCG